TCCTATTTCAGTGATTGTTGTTGGAATGTTAAATTCATTAATATCTTTCTTTTCAATATTCTTTCCATTTATCATTTTTAAATTCTCTGGTATTTTAATACTAATTAACACTGGTTCATTCATAAATATTCTTTCTTCACTTATATATTTTACATCTTCTATATTAATTGATGTTAATGATGAACATCCTCTAAAACATCTATCTCCTATTTCAGTTATACTTGTTGGTATTTCAATTGATTTTAATGATAAACATTCATAAAAACAATAGTCTCCTATTTTACTTATACTTATTGGTATTTCAATTGATGTTAATGATTTACATCCATAAAAACATTCATTTCCTATTTTAGTTACACTTGTTGGTATATTAATTGTTGTTAATGTTGAACATCTATCAAAATTATTTCGTATTTTAATCATTTTTAGTATATTAATTGGTGCTAATTCTGAACACAGACTAAAACATCTATCTCCGAGTGAAGTAACTTCTATTGGTATTGTATTTCCATATTTAATTCTATCTTCTTGTGTATATTTTATATTTTTACATTCATTCATTTCTTTTTTCTCTTCTAAATATGCTGAATAACTCACTTTATACCATATTACATATTTAATTATTTTTCCATCTTTAAATATTTCATCATATTTATTATAAATATGAAATGTTTCAATATTAGGAAACAATTTTCTTGAATGTTGATTCAATGGAATTGGATTAAAATGAAATCGTTCCATATTTCCTTGAAATCTTTTAATTCCAATTTCTAAATTAATAAAATCATTAATATCTTCAAAATACTTTGAGACAATCATTATTTCATTACAACCTAATTGCATTCTTTCTTTATTATTTTATTATTTATTAGTTCTTCTTTTATTTTTAGTTTGAACTTAAATTTATTTTTAAGATAACCGTCATTCAATTTTTCTTTTTATTTTATTATTAAATTATTAAACATTCACTCCTTTTCCAATTCAGGAAATACAACAAATTTTAATGCCATGGTTATTCTGTAAAAACATTTGGGTATTGTAAAGAAAAACAAACAAGTCATAGAAAATCCAATGTCATACAATAAAAAAAAGAAATGTCAATATAAATAAAAGAAGTAATGATAAAAATAAACGAAATCC